AATATATCATCTTTTGTTGATGATGATGTTAATGCTCGAGCTAAAGATACCATTCCATTAATACCACCAAGTTTAGCATTAAATTTTTGTACAAGGTTTTGTAAATACTAAAAGTATAGGTTTAATTAAAAACAATAATTTTGCTAGATTATTATCAAGAATTTGTTCTTAGAGAATGACTGACATGACAAGAAATGAAAGAAGTCATTCATAAAGAACATTCAGGTGAAAACCGCATTTTTTGACTCCTTCCGTCCTCTTGAATGTTCAGTATAAAAGAAACAATTTTCTAAGAAGAATCTGTTTGTTCGAAAATGTGGCTTCCTTTTTATTAAATAAATATATAAAACAAAACCATTGCAAAGTTTTTATTTTTTAAATATGGGGGTGACAGATTTGACTGGTACCCCGTTTTGATACAGCCCTATTGTAAGGATAAAACCTACTATTGTCCGGGCCATATAAGAGATGATCCTACCTAATCCTAGATTGGTCCGAACAACACCATGTTTTATCCTTACAATAGTAGAGAATAATTACTAGCCCCCATCGTGTGAGCTGGTAGCTTTTCTTTACTATTGTAAGGGTAAAACATGGTGTTGTTCGAGCCAATCTAGGGTTATGTAGGATCATCTCTTATATGGCCCGGACAATAGTAGGTTTTATCCTTACAATAGGGCTGTATCAAAACGGGGTACCAGTCAAATTTGTCACCCCCGTATATATATATATATATTTTCATTCTATTTCAATTTCGATCCCCTCAACACCTATCGAATTTCGAGCACTCGGACACTGTGCCCTATCGACGACTCATTTTCGACTCGTCGTATATATTTCGACACCTCGGTACTCATCAAAATTTCGAGTACTCCGAGAGAAGTCACCTATCGAAATAATACTACCGACGCCTCTAACACATTTTAATCACTCGACTAAAACAAACATATTGAAAGGACCATTTTGAGTTCTTCAAAAGAGTCAAACTAATCATAATAAACAGTCTTGACAGAGGAGTCTATAATCTTGATCATGTGAAACTTCTTCAAAATCCAGTTTTAAAATATTCTTTATTTTTATTCAATAATTTTAGTAGAATTGTTCAAGTTTGCTTCATAAATCACCTTAATTTTACAATTTTCTGATCGAAATTTATCGTCTACCGATTGAAATAAACTAAAACTAAAATTCACCTGTGTTTTTGACTAAGATATAGTAATAATGAATTTTCATGTTGTGAATTTAAAAAAAAAAGACTAAATAATGATCTCATGCTTCCACGTGCAAATCGGTTGATTATCACATATTGCACGTCATATTTATTCAATAAGTGATTCATACGAAGTCTTAAATTAAAAAAAGTTCTTGTGTCACTTATATACATATAAAAAGTTCTTCTTTCTTGATGGAATTTTTTTTATGATAAAATTTTTCTCGATAAAAAATATTATTTTTATTGTTCAAAAAAATAATCTTTTTTCTGGATGAAAAATATTATTTCTAATGTTTAAACGAAGTTTTTCTCTCTGGACCAAAGATATTACTTTCAGTTTTCAAAAAATAAAATTAAAAGTTAGGAAGCATGATAAAGTACTACCTTCTTATGAATTAAAAAGGTCGTTTTGATACGAGAATAACAGTTCGTATTTAGATCAACTGTTCGAGGAAAGTGAATCGTAAGTACCCATGTATGTTCAAATCTACTTCTTCGCATATGTTCGATAGGTTTCGACGACTCGAAATTTATATTCGATGGGTTTGGACAACTCGAAATTGAGACATCTATCGGATAAAAATTCTTTTTTTCGATGAAATTCCGATCCATCGGAAACGATTATTCGAATGGTTGAAAACTGCTAGTAAAAACAACCTATCGCCGAGCCCTCGACCCATCGGAAAATGGCAATCCCAGGGATCGATTTGAAATTTCGATGCCCAACGGAAGCCAAAATCGACGCGTCGAAATACCTATCGAATGGCCGGTTCGGATGGCTATGGTAAAATTTTCAGCCCCATATCATGATGTTTAACACAGATATTCACCATACAACGGTCAAAAATAGCTCCTTGGTATCTCCAAGATTTCTCTATGGACTTTCATTTTATATATTAAATTTTTTTTTGTTTGATAGCTTGTCTGTAGGGCTAGTCCCTCTCGTGGTCCTTTTTTTTAAATTCTTACTTTTTAAGAAAAACAAGGAACGACAAGTTTAATGACCCAAAAAACGCCTAAAAAAATGGCGCTGTTTTTATAGAAGTGTTTTCTTATATGAAAATAAATGGAATTTTTTTTAAAAAGACCCCGAAGGAAGCTAGTCCTAGATACAAGCTTTCCAACAAAAAAAATATTATTGGCTACAATGAGGTTCCTTCGAGAAGTCTTGGAGATACGATCGAAAACCTATAAAATGAGAAAAAACGAAAAAGATTTTTTGTTTTTTTCAAAAAGGATGTGAGTGTGGGGTATGGCTGTGGCTGTGGGTATCATAGAATAGAAGGACGACGCCTATATCACACCCACAGACACTGACACCCACGCTCACAACTACACTCCACACTCACACCTACACCCGCACCTTAGTCTCAACTCATATAAAAAATCAGGGTAGCAATCAGATTCAAATCGATTAAAAAATGATTATAGTCAAAAATAAGGGAAATAATCTAAATTCCATTGATTTCTGTGATTAATTTCGATTATAATTGATTAAGAATTGTGCAAAACACATCGATTTTAATTGGTTTTTCTTCTTGATAAATACAAAAAAATCTTTAACCAATTTATCTTCGTTAGTATCAATTATAATATATTTTTCATCAAGCTGTAATTAATTATAATCAAAATCAATCAAAATAATTAATGAAGTTTTGATTGTTTTTGGTTCATTTCAAATATAATCCGTTAAAATATGATTAAAAATCGATTAAAAGCATTAGATTTTAATTGATTTTAATTTGGGTGTTATTGTAATTTTTTTATATGGAAAGTCTTAAGTTATCTTGAAAATTGTGTTGGCTAGTGACTATAACCAAATTATTTCTAAATAAGATTCAAAATTATAAGGGTGTTAGCATTGATCAATGCTTCTCCTACATTCACACCCACATCCAAGCTTTTCTTCTTCTATTCGATACAAATGCATTTTCGATGATCAGAACTGAAAAAAAAAGAAGTGCGTGCATATACAGTCAGTTTACACATTGCATGTTTACTTATCGACTCTTTGAGACTCCTGAGAAGAAATGATTCACGTCTCTTGATTACATCAGTAATAAAAAAAATAACGACTCATAAATGATGGCCCTATTAGAGAGCTATCAGATCGAAAAAAAAAGAAACATAGCCTACTAATTACATGCGTTGGTAAAGGAAGTGTGTGTAAACATTGTATAAAATGAAAAAAATAACGCAAGCAGAGCAGTGAAATACAGATCGAACAACAATTCTACACCGATATTTGCAGCAGATGGATGCAAATTTGGAAACTTTTTCTGTTCTTTGGTTGGACATTCCAGGTAACTCGTTTTCAGTGAATCGTCAAGAAGCTCATCAACAGCTTCGATCTACGATTAATCACATGCAAATATTCGATCATGTCAAAAATTTTGAAGAGTACATACAACAGTCATCAGCAGATCGCATTATTCTCATTCTTAGTGGACAAATCAGTCGAACAGTAATCAGTTACATTCACGGTCTTCAACAAGTCAGAGCAATCTATTTGTATTGTATTGATCAACACGAATGTGCCGCTTGGACCAATGAATACTTCAAGGTAGGCCAATGGTAGAAAACTATTTTTTTTTGTTTTGAAAAATACAATAAACAAAAGCATTTTAAGATATTATTCTGAAAAAATCCAACGATATCCTGTTTCTACTATCGAAAGTGAGAATTTTTGCGTGTTTAATCACTATTGAGTGAGAAATTTCATTGAAACTTCTCAGTTTGGTATTCATATTTCGATTTAGAGGCGTTTAATAGATTGAATAGAGAAAGCTCCGCAAAGCTTCACAGTTGTTAAACTATATTATTGATTCCGAGTAGGCCATACTATTCTAAGTAACTAGTCCACAGCTATTCAGGAAGTTATGTTTTTCTTGAAACTAAGATATTTCTTTTTCATGCGAAAAGTTGACCTAAGTTTTGACTTTCGTTTTTCTTCAAAATAGTCAATTACAAGATTTTTAAAAAATAGACATTTGATTTTTGATCATGAATATATACAGAAAGGTCTTTTTATATATAGGTCAAACCTGTAATTACAGAACTTTGTGAATTGTTAACTCAAATTACAAATGATCATGTCAAGCGTGAGAAAGTCGAAGAACCCTTTTCCATCAGCGTATTACATGGTGTTGATGGAGAACAAGAAAAATCATGGTTGGATATCAATGGAAATTATCTTCATTTTCAACTTCTTATTGATGTTCTTATACGAATGAAATCATCATTAAATGATAAAGATGAATTTATAGAATTATGTAAAAACGAATATCATGGTAATTCTCTTCAATATAATATTCTTCACGAATTTGAAAATACTTACTGTTCGGATATGGCCATCTGGTGGTATACAAGAGAATCTTTTCTCTATCGTATTCTCAACAAAGCTTTTCGTATTCAAAATATTGATCTTTTGTTTCTTTTACGATTCTTCATTCGAGATATTCATCGAGCATTGACGCAATTAAAAGAAAACCAAATCGCATATCCGATTCGAGTTTATCGTGGTCAACTACTGGCAAATGATGAACTTGCTACTCTTGTCGGTTCTGTTGGTAAAATAATCTCAATAAATTCATTCTTTTCAACTAGTCTTAATCGAGATTATGTCGTATTTATTTTGGGTGATGCAGATCCAAATGAGAATAGTTTAAAGCGAGTTCTATTTGAAATCGATGCCGGTTCTGATATACAGAATAGTAAACCATTCGCTGAAATTAGCGAGAGAAGTTTTTTCAATGACGAACAAGAAGTACTTTTCATGGCTGGAAGTATTTTTCGTCTTACTGAAGTTGAAGAAATAGATGGACTATGGATTATTCGATTAGTTCTTTGCAAGGAAGAAGAAAATGATCTTATGAAACTTTATGACCATATGACAAAAAAGAAAGAATCAACCATCAATCTACTTTCATTAGGTACTGCTCTATCAATATCAGGCAAATTCGACCAAGCTGAACGTTTTTTTTGAAGAATGCTTCGAGAATTATCTACTGATGATTATTCCAATTTAGCAGAGAGCTACCAAGGATTAGCAGTTCTATCTGCTGAAAAAGGAGATTATCAAATGAGTCTTGGATGGAACCAAAAAGCACTTGAGTTTTTAGAACGAAAACTTTCTCCTGATCATCCAGATATCGGTTTTATTTATAATAATATCGGTATCATTTATTGGCAAACTGATCAACTAGAAAGAGCGCTCGAATCGCTGGAAAAAGCTTTGAACATTTTCTAAAAAGTCAACAACGAGGATAGTAATCATCGTATTGCTGCATGCTATACGAATATGGCTCTCATTTGGAAACGATTGAGGAAATACGAAGAAGCGTTAAATTATCTGTATGCAGCTCTCACACTCAACGAAAAATTTCTTCCATCGGATCATCATAGTCTAGCTGAGTCTCACAATAACATTGGTACTATCTACAGATGTCTTGGTGATTTGGATCTCGCTCTCGAACATTATAATCGTTCTCTTTCCATATCACTTCGATCTCTTCCTTCCGAACATTGCAATATTGCCATAATCTATCACAATATGGGTATCATTTATGAAACCGCTGATGATCTGAACTTGGCTCTTTTATATTTTGAAAAAGCGTCCAGCATTTTTCATAAGACTCTCGCAGCTGATCATCCACAACTAATTGGCAGCGATTTGGGTATCCAACGAGTCAAGTCAAAATTAAATAAGAATTGATATGTGAAGAAAGTAACCATATGTTCATCACTGTCATTCATTTCTATTTTCTTTCTTTGAATTTTGTATAAAGAAAGTGTCACTTTTATTCATCCATGTTCGATACCAATAGAATAGTATCTGATCGATGCACGCTTTGGCCCTTTCGGCGATATAGGATGGGTGTGTGAGTGTGGGTGTTGATATTCAATTTAAGGACACCCACATGTTTGTTTGCACTACCGTCAGTATGCTGCAGTCAAAGGATAGCCAACCGTTTAAGTATCAAAGTACCATTGATTTTTGTCTAGTTCGAATCATATGAGTAGTTTTCTTGATAATCAAAAATTTGATTTGTCGATTAAATTGAAACATAAGTGTGTAAAAAGTGAATTGATTTTGAGTTATGTAGTGCGAGTATGCAAAAGAAGTACGTTTCTATTATGTTTCTGCAAAATTATTTGTGGTAATTTATCATTATAAAAGTATTGACTTGAAGTAAACTTACGAGGAAATATTTCCAACTATCAAAATGCTTCTCTCCTTGAAAATATTCCCATTCGATCGGTTATTGATTTACACTGAAAAAGTTTGTTTTTCCGGTCTTCACTTATCAAGTTACAGATATTTTAGTCAATTTTTCTTCTATGAGCAAAAGATCGCTGAGAACTTGAAGAATCGAATTTTGAGCTAAAATTCTGTTTATAGATATACTTTATGGTCAATAGACATAACTTAATATTTGAATCACTGCAAGCATATCATCGCAAAGATCGTTACATTTTAAAAGAAACGTCTGCTTTGATCTATGTTTCAGAAGAAGAACATTTTCATGATATAAGGATACTTTATTCTGGCTTGAACTTTGGAGTGTCTCTAGTGACTATGTAGGCTATCTATGAACAAAATTTTAGCTGGAAATTCGACCATCTAGGTGGATAACGCTCCTAAACTAATAGGACAAAAATCGAGTAAAATGCTAAGACTAGTGAAGATCGAAAAACCACACGAATATAAACTTTCTCATTGTTCATGATGGTCGATGGAATGGTTATGGTTTCAAATGTGAAGTGATTTGACAGTTGAGAATGTGCCATCCTTAGTGTATATATATGATTAAATAATCATGTTTTATCATGCTATTTGTCTCTATGACATTATTGGCTTTATTCTTTGCATGTAGACTATAATTATATATTTAGAATTTTCATCTGACGCAAAGTTAGTTCACTTGGAGCAAATCTTTAAGAGAGAACAAAAAATGACGTCTGTACAGAATATAGCATGTAGTGTTTAGTTGTGTATTTTGATGAAAACTCCCTCAATCCAAACAGTAAGAAAGTCTCTCTACAATATTAGAAAGTCAAGATTACTATCCCAAAAATTCATCTATAGACATTATAAATGTCAGAGAAAAAAAAACAAATCGGAACATTCGTTTAGAGAGAGCATCAAATTTATATTTTAACTAACTGCCTTCGATCTTCTCTTCAATAGCATCTAAATGTCGGAAAAATTAGCAAACATATTTCTTTTAATTTTGTGTTTTGTACAATGGATCGTTTTTGATCAGCATTAACTATTTGTTCTCAATGAAATAAGCTTTATAACCAGAAAAAAATTTCGAAAATCGACCAGACATGTTGTACAAAAACTTTTTAACGCCTCGATTATCTTTCATTTGTCCAAGGGAATTATTTTAATTTATATTGAATACGCAAAAGTATCGATCAAAGTTCTTTGCTCCAAGAAACAAACAAGTATTCATAAATAATGATAAGATTATGTCATACATCTTTCATTCTATCTTCATTAGAGAATATAGAAAGTGCAAAAAAAAACATTCTTGACAAGTATTTATAGCAACTGACAGTATTATACAAATAGTAATAGAAAGAGTACGAGAATTACTTTCAGATGTCACTAATTTTTATTTCTTTTGATTTTCATAAATAATTCTATTTTATTTTTACATCAATCTCAAGAATAGATAACTAACAATCAAGAGTATTCTATCATAGAACCTCTTTTTTTCATTCTCTATAAGTACTTATTGACTTTTTTTGTACGTTATAACACCAGTACGTGTAACTGACTACATGATGTGTACGACTATTGAATTATTTTGTCTACGTATTTTATTATTTTTTTCCTCAGATGTACATCGAGTAATATGAAGATTGATAAGTAAAAAATTGAATTTTTTTTTCTGGATTTTCTTTTTTATAATTATAATTTTTGTCTAATTAACAAATAATAAAAATATTATGGCTAAAAATCTTACACGTACTTTCTTAATTATATACAAGAATGAATTTGATTATTGAAAAATGTTGTTTTTTTTCTTTGTTTAGTAGAAAGATGATATTGTATCAGATGCAGGACATTCAGCTGAAAATACTCTTAAGAAACCTCCTGAGACAACCATAAGTAAGATCAATAGTATTAAATCTAGTGTTGATCAGATGAAACATAATACAAAAGATATGAAAGCTTTAACTTTTTATCCTTTTGCTCTCGGCGGTGTCTCGCTTTGTAGAGAATGATTTGCTTTTACCATTTGGTGTGATGTGAACAAATTTCATATTCCTATTTGTAGGCATTGAAAAACTAAAGGTTTAGTTTTTGTGGAAAATCCGAAGTGACCATCGTGCGTTTTAACATCTCTTTTCTATTCAGCTTTCGAACAGTATTGATACCGGTAATAAACATTGTATATATATCTTACAATATCTTGTTTGTTGATAGAAAAACATCTTATTTCAAAAACAATTAAAACTTCGCAATTTTTTTCAAAGTTATCAATTTTGTAACTTATTTCTTTCCGAAGATAGAACAATGCGAAACATAGTATGCTCTTATCAATTACTAGTTCATGACGTTTACTACAAAACATGTTCCCAAAGTTTTTTAATATCATGTTTCCTTCATTTTCTACAATTGTTCTATAAATAGAATAAGCAAGCAGAGCGGATATACGATTAAATTTCCTTTTACTTGCATATTAGAATAAAATGATAATTTTGGTCAAATTTATTAGTTTAGTGATTTATAGAGCAAAGTGAATGCACTACAGTTTATTGATTTTATGATGAGATTTAAGGATATTACATAGATTTTTCTGAATCCTAACACAGAAGAAAATAACGTTTTTTTTGGAATTTTTCAAGCTTTACTATTAAATTTTTGCAGTGATGGACATGGCTATCATGTGTGGCTACTTTATGATAAGTGAATACAACACTCAAACATGAACTACTAAACATCGACTTAAAAATAAATTTGCATTAGCAGAATAATTATCCGAAGTTTCTTCACTATTATTCTACTAATGTAAAGTAGACTATAAATCACTGCGTTTTGAAGTGTTTTAAATGATTTGAAAATACTACTTAGAGAGTCGCCTATGTTTTTCAAGTATTTGATCGAGATGAAATATTTTTCTATTTGTACTAGACAATGTTTAGATACTGTACACTTGTTGTACTATTCGAAATATGAATGTTTAGCTCTCAAGACTCGCTGACCATGCTTCGATCAGTAGTGTCAAAGTTGAAAGTTAAATTCATTTGAACAGTAACTATTCAGGTCTCAACTTTCAATCGGCTATGTTTTCGAGGCATCTACATCAGGAGAGTGCCTATGTTTACTTGAAAATTGAATTCAAATTTCAAGTTTAACATATGTGATAATTTTGGTCAGAACTACATTGGTGATGTGTTAGATGATGCACAATAAATCATCAAGACATTTGGATGATATTCGATTCCCATGTCATATTAAATTTCTCGTTTTTCTAAATAGTTTTAAATAAAATTGTTATTAATCTTGTTTGAAAGACAAAAAAAATGAGATTTCCAGATTCATTAGTATTACTTTAGAATTATATCGAACTATTGTTTAAAGTGCTCGTATGCCTATATCGGCCTTTTTTTTTATTGTATCTACCTTTGCATAGAACAAACTATCTACATAATTGCTTCAACCTTGTTTATAAGTAAATGTGTTAGTATGAAATGATGTGATTTCAATATTACCAATTACTTCTTCATTAACATAACTTAACTAAATTTGATATTATTATGCTTCAAGTAAGTTTACTTCTTTAATCTTCTACAGATATGGTTAATATCCAATATAGATAGATGAGCAGTCAACGAATATATAGCGTTTTTTCATGCTATATTTATATTAGTCATCAGAGCAAATACACATATCAATATCTAGGAAATTTTATTGAAAATTAATCTAAAACGGTACATAAAAACGAAAAAGTATCAATGACGAACGTT